CGCATGCGCGACCAAAATAAAAAATGCGCTGTATAAATAAGTTCTGACAGCTCATTTGCGTGGTTGACAGCTGTTAATGCACAGTTACCATTTTAGATCGACAAACTGTACTGTATACGATTTCTATTCAAAAGCATAAATCTAGGCTACCCGCTGACGTTTTCAAAGCACAATGCAAAACTGTGACATTTCGTTCACGGACGCTCTTCAATCGGCTAATCTTCAAAGGGCTAAACTCAGAAGCGCATGTACTTACTTGCCGGCAACCCGCCAACATAAAAGCCTGCTGATTTAAGGTTGAAAATGATTCAAATTGATATGAAAAAAAAGTAGTAGTAGTAAATATTAGCATTTTAAGTTTACTATAAAATAATTGTACTTGTATTTAATACACCCTTTTTATTTTAAAATATAATAGTATTATCACACTTTATTATTATCTTATGAGAACCAGGCTGAAAAACTTATGTGCACCCCTGCTAATAGTGTAATCTATTAACTATGCATAAAAACCTGTCTTTTTACTTAAGTAGCAGATATGGGTGTCGTGCCATAAAATACTTTTAAATACGACTGACTTTGTATTTAATGTTAATTTAATAAAAACATTGTAATTTACTAATTATAACACTTTCACTATACAGAGAGAGAGCAAAAGAACATTTTAAGCACACTTAAAATCACTGAAGCAAAAGAAATGCACCAAATACAAAATAGAAATAAACCCATTAAAATACAAGAACAAAATGTAAAATTTAGATATAAAGCAAATATATAAAGCACAAGATCTACTATAAGGTACAGTTAGAAGAAAATAATCTGAAGACCTGAGAGTCCTTCTGGGTTCATATACTATAAGCATTTCTGAAAGATAGTCTGGAGCAAGTCCGTGCAATGCCTTATAAACTAATAAACGATTTTTAAAATCAATACGAAAGCTAACGGGTAACTAGTGTAATGACTTTAATACAAATGCAATGTGATCTTTCTTTTTGGCCTTTGTCAATATTGTAGCAGCAGTATTTTGTATTAGTTGTAGTCGATTAATTGTATTCTTTGGTTGACCTGAAAGGAGGGCATTACAATAGTCATAAATGCATGCATTAATTGTTCTGTATTGCTCAGAGAGAGAAATGGTCTTACTTTGGCAATGTTCTTCAGATGATAAAATGCAGTTTTTCCTAATATAACGTACATGAGCTTTTAAGTTAAAATCTGAATCAAAGACAATTCCTAAATTTTTAGCCACTTGGCTTGGATTCAGTCCTAGTATATTTAATTTAGGGGTCAGTTTCTCTCTCTGCGCTTTTGATCCAATAATCAAAACTTCAGTTTTATCTTGGTCGAGTTGTGAAAAAT